AGTAAAAATCTCAAGCTAATTCTCTCAAAAAGATCTAGGACCATTAGTCACCTCTACTGTTTCTCTGAAGTGGTCACATTGAATTAATATCCTCAATTGGCATACTGGATATGTGGCCAAGGTAACACAATCTGTTGGAGTTTAGACATTTTCACTTAAAATTTTAGTTTTGCTATAAGCCAAAAGAAGCTGGGATAATTTAATAACTATGGTTTATGTGAGCACTTACTTTTAAGCCAATTTGATACCAAGTTAAAAAAAAAACTTTTTTGAAAATCCTAATGAGTTTATGGGCTTGCCAACAGAACATGGGGGGGGGGGGCTATTTACAGAAGATTGGGGGCCCCCAACCATTTACAGCAGTGCTGGAGAGTCCATACTCAAATATAGATCCTGTGGCTTCCCAACAGACCCACAAAACAGTGAGAGAGGTGCCTCATGAGATTCTTGGCTTATATATATCTTTAGCCCCTCTCCCACATGCAGCTGATTGGGTGTGAGGGGTAACTCACTCCCCCACGGACTCCTTAATGAGTGTGGGAAGGAGATGTGATTATAGCTTTCTGGCATAGTGGTCGGAGGACACTTCCAGGTAACACTCCACCCCTTCCTCCAGCTCTTTCATTCTTTCTGCCAGCCTCTTTCACAAAAGTCCCTGAGCCTTAGAGGAAATGATAGGTGTGGGATGATCTCCATCCCATTGTGGCAAAGTACTGAACTTTTGGGTCTCTGCATCATCTGTTTTCCATGGGCTGTTGGCCCATTGCAGTGGGATTCCATCCATTATAAAAACACAAACAGCAAGAAGCAAGAACATCTAAACAGTGACTGCTATAATACCTTAACCTATGGGCATAAACACAAATGCTTGGATGGTACTTAAGCAGGTGCATCACATCCATCTAACAAAACAATTGCAGCGCTTCCCCACTAGGGCCTATATCCTCCCCTGTCACAGGGTATGACCAGGTCTACAGTGCCAGATGTGTGTTTCACCTCTAAGAGTGGGCACTATTTGCTGGTTGTACACACAATAGATGTGCCACTATTGCACCAGCTGGAACATCTTGTTTGGCATGTTGATAGTGCAAGTGGGGTTCCTTGAACAGAATTATAGGGGACAGTTCTCCCCCAACCATCTGCATATTGCTTTCTGGCACTATCAAAGAAACCTATTCAGTGGTAGGGAGTTTCCAGCTTAGTCCAAGTTTTATTTCTCCCTTTCCCATGCTCACATCATGGGGTATCTTCAACAATAGGGTTTTACTGTCCATTTCCAGTGTACAACCAACATTAATGACAATGGCCTTTATTGTTTTGGAGACATGTAGAGCCCCCCTGGCCAACAGTTCATAGGGGGCAGCCTACTTCTGGCACTGGGATTTTTCATTTAACAACCCTCTGGCTTCTGGTAGGGCTTTCTTCCATCCCTGTAGGATTCCTTCTGTGCTTAAGGCTTTTATCTTTTTTACTGTCTATCAGAAGAATTTTTCCCCCTTTATTCCCATAGTTCTTTGTATAGCCCTCCTTCCCCGCTTTCCATTTAACTATACCATTTTTGCATATTTCTTGCTTAGTAATACCTTTCTCCTACTATTCTTGGATTCCTTCTTTCTCTTTACCTCCCTGGTTCCCTTCTATATTCCTTGTTCCTGCAGTTACATCAGGATATGCACTCACTTATACGGATTTGGTGCTAGAATCCACAAATGAAGGAAAACATACGTCTTTTGTTTTTCTGAGTCCATGTAATGTCACTTAGTATAATAGTTTCTAGATCCATCCATTTACCTGCAAATTTCATATTTCATAATTCTTTACTGATGAGTAGAACTCCATTGTGTAAATATACCACATTTTCATTAACCACTTGTCAGTTGAGGGACACCTAGGTTGCTTCCATCTCTCAGCTATTGTGTGAAGAGCAACAACAAACATGGTTGTACAAGTGTCTGCAGTAGAATAAGTCCCTTGGGTATATGTAAATTATTTTTCAAAACATAAGCTCAGGTAGACAGCACATACACAGCCAATCACACATAAGATATATTTTGTTTTCTTTTGTTTTTTGAGACAGTGTTTCCTTGTAGCCTCAACTGGAACTCACTATGTAGAACAGTTGGCATTGAATTTACAGAGCTCTACCTGCCTCTGCCTTGCAAGTGCTGGGACTAAAGCTGTGCACCACCATGCCTGACTTATATGATAGATTTTTAGCAATGAAGATCTTGTAAATATGCTTTGTTGAGATTATGTCTCCTGTAATCCTCATTGTGAAAATGAAACATAATAAAAGATTTTTAGCAAATACGTATATCCATTGTTTTAGATGTAGTCTAGTCTTAATAAAAACCTTATATTGGACTACTATCCTCAGGCCTCTTGGGGTAAGTCTACAGCGCAGCTCTCCGTGCTGGGACTCCCTAAGCCACATTCACCCTTCCATCCCCCCC